TTCAACCTTGGGTTTAAGTTCTGGCCTCTTTTCTTAACTATGCGCATTGTAATTTTTGTTTTGACTTTACTGCTCTCAGAAAAATGGAGGAAGTGAGTGCAAATGATGTCTAAAATGACTTTATTTTATTTTCACCATACAGTGTTCATTTTTGTTTGCTTTCTAGATAATTAAATTTATATTGAAAAAATGATTTCCCCACCAGCATGTCAGACACTGAAAGCCAACTATCCCATCAGTGCCCCAACCCCAGCTGCCCTGTCCTGCACCAATACCATTAGCTGAGCCCTCGGCATTGACTTTGGCCTGGTGCTAAGGCGATGCTTTAGATGTTTCCAAAAACGGAGCACTCATTACTGTTGTTTTTCTGGCTACAGCTCAAAATTTACCATTTTAATGGCAATGTGTTGGCTATTAAGGGCTAATTAAACTTGTTTTTGAATAATCACATAATAAATACCCCAATTTTAAATGTTGCACAGAATTAGCCTCTAATCAGGCTCTAAAAATATGATCTAATAAGTGATATATTCCTTTAAATGATTGTGACTACTTACTTAATGAAAAGATGCACCTTTTTCAATATACATATCTTAACTCCTAATGTGGTTAATGGGATCAGTTCAATAGAAATCCTTTGATCTTTTCTCAAAATAGCACACTGTAAAACTATTCAAAATTGCATGGTAATTGCAGCAAATTTAGCCTAATGAATAGTAATACATGCAAAGGACCTTTTTGCCATCAAATTTATGCCAGCCATGGAATTTTTTAAGTGAACATTTTGAAAATGAATCCTATATTTGTGAGATGCTTGAATTTTCGAACAAACTTCTGAAATACGAAATGAAATATGAAAATATTGCAGTTTTGTAAAATAATAAAATATAATGTTTATCAAGTACTAAGAACAATGACAAACACAGAATAAATCTTCACTAAGTACTAGTTATTATTGTGACTATTATTACTCATTTAACCTGAACCCTGATCAATGTGAACAACTGATGGGCAATCAACAGTTATCCTTTGAGGAGCTGTACTGACTAGCTCATCCCCACTGGTTCAGCTAATGCTGACAAAAATTTAATTGACATGGAAGTGGCCCAATGTTCTATTAGCTAGCCACCCCCATGCCCTACACACATACATGGAGAGAATGGGCATGTTATTTTCAGCATTATAAATCAAAGAGAAAGTTGTCCCTCCTAAATAGGGCTCCCAGGAAACTGGAAGCTGGTCCTGTTCTCTTTGTAATAAATGACAAACTAGAGTTATTCATTAGGAAAATCCCACAAAGAGGGTCATTATCTTCACTTACTGTCTCAAATATCAACATAAAAATAACCTTTCCAATTTCTTTAGTTTTCAGAAAGGGGTCTTTTTAGAAGAGGACCTCAAAATTAAGATACTGACATGCTTAAAGGTCACCTTGAAACTTAACTGGTTTGCAGTGCTGCCATTTCGTCACTGTACTAAGTAAACCTAAAACATAAGATTTCAAAGTTTTAAATATATATATATATGTTCATGTGAAAAAAAAGTCTTGGAAAATATGTATATACTACACATCATAACAGCACACTCATATAACACTTATTATAAGCAAGGCATTGTTCTACAACATGCTTTCCATATATTAATTAACTTAATCTAACAACCATATCTGTATGCTGACAAAGTACAGAAGGTAAAAGTGTAAAGGAAAAGCCAGCCACTTGTCACATGTCCAGGCAGCTGAAAGTAGGCATTTTAGGGCATGTGACCTAGTGACCAATGGCTGCTTCAGATTTTACCTCTTAGCAAAGAGTCAGGATTCAATAGACTTCCTGAATGCATAGTCACCCTCCCATATTCTACACTGTTTACACCAATGTGAAGTTGTCATCCAGTGCTTACCACGCAGGACAGTGTGGCTGCAATCAAGGAGAATTGAGTCCCATGTGTTCCCACTCAGGGGGTCGTTCCTGATGATCTAGTTTCAACATGTACAGTTCCCATCAGGAGGCCTGAGTGGTTTCATCAATTGCCCACCAATTTTCAGCCAGGAAAAGTAACAGCATTATGTAAAAGGGAAAATATAGCTTGAATATTCTTTTTATATAACTAAACTGAGAAAAAGAAGAGTCACCATTTATGCTCTACTTTATGCCAGGCATTGCAGTAGGCACCTTAAATATTAGTTTCAATTCTTGCAATAACCTGAAAAATAGGTGATATTTTAATGTCAAAGATGAAGAACACGATGATCATATAGATTAACTAAAAAAGCATTCATGGTAGAATGAAAGATGTCCTTTTGTAGAATATGACTGAAGATAAGAACTTTCTATTTTTTCTCCCAGAGCTTAACAGAACAGTGGGTGCACAGTAGGACTCAATACTCTTTGATCATTGGTGAAATTGACAATCTACCAAATATACAACTTCACTCTTCATTAAGAGTCCTGAAGGGAACCACAGGGTAGTTCAAATTTATGAAATACTTGATAAAAGGCATAATTTACTCATATTCAAGAATACACCAGATTTTTCCTATTTGTTTCATTAATAGCCCTTAGAAAGGCACCTGAATAATGAACATAGCACATTTTTGGAGAAGAAGCCATTTGAAGAGGTGTGGGTCAGGAAGATCAGAGAACCTTCATATATAAGTAAGGAGTGTGAAAGACATTAGTGTGCAACACACCTGTAGAAGTTATTCATCTCTCTGCAAAAACATCTGCTTTCAAACTTGCTTAAGGAGTAGCAAAAGTGCATTTAAGATGTTCATTTCTAAGTAACTCAATATGTAACTTTTCTAAAATATGACCTAATAATCAGAAAAGATTTTTAGATATATCTAACATTATCCAAAGTCTAATAACATCAGCAAGTACAATTTTTGTCCATGTTGTTTTATATTTGTATTCAAGATAAAATGCAAGCAAGAAAAATATATTTAAGAAAACCAGTACATCAAGAAACAAAGAGCTGCAGGAGGGACATTCTATAATAAAACAATATTCATATTTGAAGAGCATTAACAACACCCCTCTATTCCAAGAAACATGGTTGGAAAATAGAGAAATACCATGTAAACTAAGAATCGCATAGGAAGCTGTCAAAGAAACAAAGCCAATTCTACCAGAAGAGCAACACTACATGAATTTTTGAAGATGGGCATCAAAAAAATCATCAGGAATTGGGCAAAACAAGTCAATATAGAAAAGAGATCTCACAAAATGTAATATAGAAAGAGAAGCCATTCATGGGCTACACTATCAAGATGCTTTCAAGGAGAGGTAAGATCGTAAGAAAAGCTTAAGGAAAATCACCCCATTGAAGCAGAATTTGAAGTTTAAGCCTTAAGAGGAGCTGATGAATTGAAAACTAGAGAGTAAGGGGAAAAAAACATTGAGGGAGAGGAAGAAAAGTAAACTAGGCTTGGTACAAGAGTCTTGAAGTAGCTGTCATCAGATAGAGGTGGTAGCTGCTGGTTCTTGTTTACTGGGCAAGAGACTTCGTTGTAGCAGAACAAGTTTAAAATTTACACAACCAATCCGTGCAGGGAGCAAGGCAAGCAGGTTTTGTGCTTCATGGAGCTTTTCCTTCTTGTCGGGGTGGGGTTGGGGTGGAGGGTCTGGGGGATGCTAGCGATGCATTAATGAACAGATAAGTGAACAAGATTCTCTCACCGTGTTAAGTGTGGTGAAGAAAGCAAGGGCAGAAAGATTATCCGGAGCATGGCTACTAACAAGCTGCTCCACTGCTCCTCCCGTCCTCTGTGTCACAATGTTTAACAAAGCCAACCAAACCCACATGAACAGAAGAACAGATGATAAATGGGTAACCTCCCCTCTCTCTCCCCCACCCCCAATCCTGGAGAAAGGGAGAGACGGTGAAGGACTCTATAAGGAATGGGTAGTAAGACCTGTCAGCAAAGGCTAGAAGAGTTTGATCATTTATCTGTGCTGAAAAAGAAAATAATGTGATGATTTAAAATGTAATTAGCGTTCTCACAATACGGTTTATTAGATATTCAAGGTGAGGACTCTGTATAAGAGGATGACAGCCTACATCACATGGCGAAAAGAGGCAGTCCAGAGGAAATTCAGCAAGTAGGGAGATTACGGTGGCACCTCGGTTTTGAATGTCTCCGTTGAGGAACATTGCGGTTCACGAACGCCAAGCGCGAAGCCAACGCTTAGGCTCCGAACACGCCTCGGAAGGCGAACGCGCCACAGGGCTTCCGCGGCCGGCAAGGTCCTGCGGCCTGGCTGTCGCTGTGGGCCCCTCGGCTTTCCAGCGTTTCAGAGCTCCGACGGTCTTCCAGAGCGGAGCACATTCGAAAACCGAGGCACCACTGTAGTAAGAGCCTGCACTGTTTTCAGCTCGTTGTTAATACAGTGGAAAATACTGAAAAAATTGACTGCTCTCTTGATAATGTGAATTGGGGAGACAAATATAAACACACACACCAATGTACAATCAAACACCAGGCTTTGTTTTATGAACAATCCACAAAGAGAATGTCCTGGTTGGCCATGTGAGAACAGGAGACATGGGAAAGAGGACATTTGAGGGCTGGAGAAGGCAAAGAGACTGGACTGATAGATAAAAAAACCATAACTCCTCCCTCCCTCCCTC